GAAATGTTGGGTTTGATAAGAGGGTATGGGAGGTAGTTGAACATAAAAAAGGAGAAACTCCTTCAATCACTTTCAAGTATCACAGTCAGGATGGAGAAGAAGGTAGTGTCTGATCTCTCTTTCTTCCTCACTTTCAGACATCATTATGCTCTTCATCTTTTCCTTCATTCAGCTATTGTTTTCTGTTGTACAAGGTTATCCTGGGGATATCACTGTTACAGCCACATACACGCTCACCTCAAACACAACTCTGAGGCTTGACATGGAAGGAGTGCCAAAGGACAAACCCACCATAGTTAACTTAGCTCAGCACACCTACTGGAACTTAGCTGGTCACAACTCAGGGAATGTACTTGACCATTCAATTCAGATATGGGCTAATAATATCACTCCTGTAGATGAGAATACTGTGCCAACAGGTGAAATCATGGCAGTGAAGGATACCCCTTTTGATTTTACATCTGAGAAAAGAATAGGGAACGATATTAGTGAAGTTGGATTGGGATATGACCACAATTTTGTGCTGGATTGTGGAGAAGAGAAAGATGGTTTGAGGCATGTTGCCAGAGTGAGGGATCCATCAAGTTCAAGAGTACTTAACTTGTGGACAACTGCCCCTGGTGTGCAATTTTACACTGGAAACTATGTTAATGGTGTTAAAGGAAAAGGAGGTGCCGTATATGAAAAACATGCAGGGTTATGTCTGGAGACACAAGGATTCCCTAATGCTATAAACCAACCAAATTTTCCATCTGTTGTGGTTCGTCCGGGGGAGAAGTATAGACACACGATGTTGTATGAGTTTTCAATTGAGTGATGTTGTCTGAGTGGCATAGCAATGAGGTAGACATCTTGTATTGCAAATTATGATTTAGAAGCAACTTTGGCTTCTGAAATTCCCAGTTGTTTGCATTCAAATAATTATCACTTGTCTCAAGTTTGAATTCTCCAATGTACTCCTAAATATAGTGAGACCGTAGACTTTTGTTTGGTAAGTACAATGTGGTTGTTGTTTCTTGAATTGTTGTCGAAGTTGAGAAACAGTTTTTCCAACACCTAGAAACTTCAATCTAGCCTGCATAACAACACAATGTTCCTTAGATATACACATAAGTGTGAGTACTTTCAATGACAAGTTAAAATCTCAACATGCATGATTCTCCTTAGTGCACAAGATTCACATAGTTGTCACTTGAATAGAAGGCAAAATATGGGTGGAGTGATAAAAATTTCATTGATTTACTAAAACTTTTTTAAGAGATGCTATCAAATTATAACACTTTGCTAGATTATATGAATTTGAAATAAAAAGAATACATGTTTTTCATATTGATTGCATGAATCTTTGTAAAAGTGTCCATGAAAAATGGAAATAAATGCTAAGATAATGAAACAAGGATCCTCCATCAAAAGTTTTACATTAATTCAAACGTTGAAGCAACTCTTTACTAGTGAACATAATGCCAAAATTCAATATTCTTACATGATGTGCAAAGGAAGGGGAAAAAAAAAGGCAATGAACAATTTTAACATCTTGTTGATTCTCCTCAATGCAAGAAAATAAATTTTCATTTTCAAAAAAACCTTACTATTGACTAGCTCTAAATGAAATGAATCTATTTTGTAATTTAAACATTAACACAAATTCATACATAGTTTTGTTTTCCATTTGTGCATGAAACATAAATATATCATATTATATACGATGATTCCAAGTCTTAGACAACTCGAGAATGATAGACGTTTATCTAAGTCTCTTGATAGATATCTTAAGGCTTTTCTTAGAGGAAAGAGTGACAGTGTTTAATTGGCATTAGTAGGACATTTTCAAATTACATGTAATGTTATTCTATATTATAAATTATTTTTTTTAAATATGAGAACTTGAGGGAGCCTAGTGGTAAGGATCATTATGCTTGTTCCTCTATAAATAAGAAACAAATTATGTGCAGTTGAAACATGGAAATAAAACAATTATAATTAACATACAAAATTTCTTACTCATGCATTGATCTTCCATGTTGGTGTCATCTTGATGAAAAAAAAAAACCTTTAATGGTTATCAAAAGGATGAAAATACCAAAGTTTTGTTTAATTGGTGGCAATTTTATGAATGAGTGAAAGATATTAACAATGAATTTGAAAAGACTAAAAAAAATAATATAATAAAAATATATGGAAAAAGATGTCAATATTCTTTGACTTTTTGTATTAGTGTCATCTTAATGTTGATGCTATGCACATGGAAAACAATGTATGTGATAGTTTGATTGACATATTATTGAACATAAAAGACAAAACAAATAATGAAATTAATGCTCATCAAGATCTTTTTAAAGTGGAAGTACAAATCTTTTTGAAGTAAAAATATATTTGCAGTTACATTTAAAGCCTGGACATAAGAGAACATATTTTCTTCCAGTATAACACTTTATCTTTATCAAATAAGAGAAAACAAATATATTTTTCATGAAGAAATAAAATGTTACAAGAATACTACTCAAATATCAAATTTATGAACGAGTGAAAGACATGAATAAGGAATTTAAAAAGACTAAAAAAATCCATAAGATAAAAACATGTAAAAGAAGAGGTGATCAATATTCTTTGACTTTCTATATTAGTGTCACCTTGATGTTGATGTTCTGCAAATGAAAAAGAATGTCTATGATAGTCTGATTGACATGTTGAACATTAAAGACAAAAAAAATTATGGAGTTAGTCCTCGTCTTTTTGAAATGAGAATACATTCACAATTATATTTAAGACCAAAAGATAAGAGAACATGCACATTTTATTTTTATATAGAAAACAAATATAAAGTGTCTACGAAAGTGATAAAGAATCATAAGGATACTATTTAGATATCAAGAGTAGTATGTCAATAAAAGAGTAGTTGAGTTAAAGTCTTGTGATTGTCATGCATTATTACACTAACTCTTATCTATTGTATGTGACTAAGCATCTTATACGTTGTAATGATTAGCATGTGAACTAAAACATAGTGGATACAACATTAATGAGTACTCTTTCTATACAAAGTTTGAGGATGACCACAACATAGTTTAAAATAATGGAATTTTTATTTTTGTAATATCTATGCATTTCTCTAGTAAGTCATTCAAGAAATTTAAGAGATAAATTAGACTATTTAAGTGTGTGAATCAACGCCAACATTAGTGTTGTTCATTAGGATAAAATGAGATATATTTTAATAGACCTCAAGAAAATAGGTCATACAATGGTCATTAGTTTTTCGAGGAAAAGTAGTTGATGTTACATATGAAAATGAAGATGCAAAATGTTATATTCTTGATGTTCCTCTCTTAAGAATTATGTCTTCCACAATTGATAATAATAAATAATAATAATAATAATAAAGAGGATTTGGTAGACGAAAGATGTATTGAACACGTATCTAAGAAAATTTTGTTATTTCACTTTCTATATAATTTATGTTTATTTTGTTATGAATTTTTTTTTATTTGGTTCCTTCCTAGTTGTATTTATTTATGTTTATATGTGCTAAAGAATTTTTGTTTGTTTGTATGTTAACATGAAATCTTCACCATCTTTTTCACTTACATCTCCCTGTCATTAATAAAAGAAGGTCAAACAATCACACATAAAGAATTGAATTATTAGACAAATGATTGTCAAAAGATTGCATATGATTATGCATCCTCGGAATAGGGAATGTCTTATGTTCGAATCACATTGTCTTTTACCCCTTATACAACATTGATCGGTTAGAAAATGGAACAATTGACTACAACGTTTAAAATTTTTGGACGCCTACTTAGGTTACAACCATATTTCCATGACTGAATGTGACAAGTTGAAAACCACCTTCATTACAATATGTTCCTTAATTTTAAATGAAAATTGAAATTAGTCGAGAGACTAATTTGATTAAAAGAACTAAATCTATACAACTCTAAAGTTGAGAAACTAAATTGGTCTAAAATTTGAAAGAATGACTAATTCTAATTTTTATTTAAGGTTAAAGGACAAAAACATATTTAATCCTAACTTTATCTAACTAATTGGGTTTTTAGATTACGTATGAGTACAAGAAATCACTCTCATGTGGTATATGCATGATGTATTATTGTAATATATTGGATCTAGAGAATTACGGAAATGTTTCATATTATCCTTCATTGTAAACAAATACATCAATAATAGGCCTTACAATTCAAAAACATATTTAAGTTTTGGCCATGCAATTCAAATAGGCCTTACAATTCAAATACTCTTATGATAAATGAGGAAGCTTTGGCCATGCTTTCTAGAATGGAAGACTGTTTCATCAATAACAAGTGCTGCAAAGCTATTATTGTGATCCTCTTATGGTACACTGTGATGTCGCTACTGTAAATTGCTCTCCAAGCCTTGGTCACATATTATGTGAAATGTAGTTTTCTTGGTGTTTTTTAATCTATTTTTGGTTTTTACAAATAGACTGGTTGAAAATTAAGTACATTATTTGTTTGCATATTTAAGTTGTCTTATGTGTTGAAGTTGTTGATATATTTAATAATTTCATAAACATTTAATATAAAAAAGTTAATTTTAATATAAAGTATATTTGTTTGTTCTTAAATATTTTTTAACTAAATTTGGGAGGAAAAGACTGATTAAGTCTATTTAGTTTTATAATAGGAGCTACTGAGTTATTAATTATTTTAAAAGTTTATCACAAGTCTTTTTTCTCAAAATATTTTCTATCATATATAAAAAATGTACTCAATTTTATTCGTGTTTCAACTATTAACTGAAACACCGAAAGGTGTTTTTAACACAACAGTAAGAGATGCTAAGAGGCATTTTTTTTTCTATTTTTATTTTTTATATTCAAGTGCATAATTCTCATCTTATTTTTAACATGCTCTATGTTTTCAAATATTTAAACAGAAAACGAAAATATTCACTGCTTTCTGCATAAACATTTAAAAATGTTTTCTTCTTTCATTAAAAAAATGACCAAATTTCTTGTGTTATTGAAACAGAAATTAAAAACGAGTCACACTAAAGAATGTTACAAAAGAAACAGAATGACAATTGAAGTCTAAATAAATTAAAATCTACCAACTGTTGAATACAATAAGTGATCACATCACTTGCATTTTCCAAGTCTAAGTTCTTCCATTAGTAGATGTGCCACTGAATTGTACCCCATTTGACGAGCTTCATCATTTCAGTCAATCAAAAGAAAAATCACAGATTCAGTACTAAAATATATCAATTACAACAGCAAAAAAGGAAGTGAGAATGGAAAAAAGACCAACCTTTGAATACTGCTATTCCAGTTGGAGGCATCTTTCGTTTCCTCAGACATATTGAACTAATCATCAATAACAGCAAAAAGAGACAACATCAGATGAATAAAATGAGACATTTCTGCACTGCACACTTGTGTCTGCATGTTTCTATTCATAATGTCCGAACCCAAAAGAAAAAGTAATGACTCTACCTGTTACATATCCAGTAAGGCTTAGTTCCTTGTTCTTCTATGCAATGTGGACACATCCATCCCTTGTTTTCTCTCACTTCCTCAATTTCTAAAACAGAACAATAGTGAACAACATTTTCAAACTATCAACACTATTATTAGTTAAAATTTTTAGTTAAAATTGCTAGTGCATGTTTACAGCAAGATTTTCTCAAACACACCAATACTTTCTCATGAAACAAATTTTAGAGTATAGATGTTTTAACTCTGTCAGTTCTTTAAAAGGATGAAGAAAAAAAAAGTGTGAACTTTATCTTTCTAAACAACAACCAAACATCATGTGACACCAACTATTTTATGGTAATTCAATTTTAATCTTTTTTCCTTGTTTAACTACTAAGTTTTGTTTCACTATTGTTTCTTACCTTCTCCATATCGAACCTTGAGACAGGCTCTACAAAAAACACCAGTGCTAGAGTGACAGACAGAACAATCAGTCTTTCCTGGTAGAAAAACATCTTAAAACTGTTAAAAATACAGTGGAACTAATGTAAAAAATACACAAAAATAAGATCAGTTTAAATCTGACCCAAGCATGGTTCATTCACATCAAAATTGCCACATCTCTTGCAGTCTTCTTCACCACACAATTTCTTTTGCCTGCATTTGTATTTTACATTGCAATGTCATCATAATCATCATCTATCCCAAATACAACACACTTGTTCATATACAGAGTTTCATACTAAACCTTTTACTTATCAAGAAATTTTTCATGAGTGACCAAGCGCAATATCACCATTTTACATTAGCTTCCAGTATAATTGTATAAAGCATATATCATAGACTGTGTAGAATTTGCTATCATTAACTTACAGAAAAAATAAAAATATTACATTAATCTGTGATTGTTGTTAAAAAGAAAGCTGAGAAAACTGACCTGCAAAAATGGCAGCATATTCCCAAAACTGGATTGTAGATACTACCTCTGCCCTTGCTGTTACACCTTCTAGCCGAATGCTCTGATGAAAGCAGAAGATCAGCATCGCTTAGGTTCACCAGAGGAGCATTGGCAGGTCTCTGTTTCTCTTCTTTCTCTCCAGAAAAAGTTACCTTATCTGTCACAAAAATGCAGTTAACAATCACACTTTATAGGATAAAAACTCACTGAATTAAGAGATGCATCAGTTTGGTCTTCCAAATATATTGCAAGGTTGTAACATGTTCCTTGTTTACTGACAAATACATCATATTAATCCTTGAAAGATAGAAAATAATGTAAAACTATTCCTCATTATCCAGTAAACTAAAAGCATTAATTTTCAGTCCAATGTTCATAATACAAGTTTTTTTTATTAGTTATGCATAACCATCACATATTTTATATGTATTATAAAAATAGTAAAAAGTAAATAAAAGGCTAAACCTTGTTTTGGTGTTGAAAGGGGTGTGAATGGTGTGGAAATGATTTTGGAAGGTGTTGAAAGAGGTGTGGAAATGATTTTGGAAGGTCTTGAAAGAGGTGTGGAAATGATTTTGGAAGGTGTTGAAAGGGGTGTGGATGGTGTGGAAATGATTCTGGAAGGATTACATTCTGGTGGCTTAAGGTTTTTACTGATTCTAAGGTTGTTACTTATTCTAAGGTTGTTACTTATTCGCAGGGAGCGGCGCAAAGGAGTGAGACCGTAGACTTTCTTTTGGTAAGGACGATGTGGTTGTTGTTCCTTGACTTGTTGTCGGAGTTGAGAAACAGTTTTTCCAACACCTAGAGACTCCAACTTAGCCTGCATAACAACACAACAATGTTCATTAGACATACACATAATAATATAAGTGTGAGTACTGTCAATGACAAACATCAAAACCTCAACATGCCTGATTCTCTAACATGCGAGCCTTTCTGAGAGCTTCATACTCCAATTTTGGTTGTTCTGTCACTCTTTCCATTCCTCACTCCCTTTTGTTTTTCTTCTTACACTCCTAAAGATACAATTCAATAGTACACTGTAACATCGCTGTGTACTTTTAACTTTCAAACATAACGGTCGAATCTCTGACACTGTTTCAAGCATTTATTACAAATTGTAATTCATTTAATAAATTCTATTTGAATTATGTTTACAGTAAACAAAATATTATTATCTTATGTGTTGTATTTAGTTACATTCCATTTAAGAGTTAAGACTGAACATTAAGGATTTATTTAAGATAATATTTTGATTTAATTATTAACTGCATCTCCTATTTCTAAACTAAATATAGGCTATTAGATTACTGTATGTGGGACCAAGGTTAAAAATTGAAGGTAATGGACTTATTAAATCACACTAAATAAATCAAATTCAACTGATAAATATTGGTTTAAAAACAACTTAATCTATTTAATTTAATATTATTTTATATTTTTAAAAAATCATAAATTTAGACTAAAAGACAATAAAAGAATCAGTTTAATCAATTATTTTTGCTAAAAAGTTGAATTTTATAAATATATAAAAAATGTGTACATGTTTGTACAAATTAGTACCTCTTCTATTAATAATATATTTCTTCATTACTTATTATAATAGAAATATTATACATATAAATTAATAATAAAAAAAACTGTTAGAATTTTGTATTAATATGTCATATCCAAAATATTTTTATATTACCTGTTCTAACTATGGTGATGTATCTATGAAATACATTATCACTTCTACAAATATAAAATTAACAATATGCATTTTAATTAATTGGATGTAAAAATATATACAGTGATAAACTTGTAATTATGAAAATGTTCTTTATGCAAGGGACATGTTAACATGAAATTCTATTTTATAAAGTAAATATGTAACTATTTATTATTTTTATGTTTAATCATTCCTCAGGTGCCTAATTGGGTGGAATGGGAATTTTTTTGTCTTAAATTAGATCAAACGTTATCATTAAGTTGATGTGGCATGTTTATCTTAATTTTTAAATGATGCACCTGACATTGCGGCATTACTTGGATTGTAGTTATTTTCAAATAAAAAAGTTAGAAAAAAGTTGAAATTTTTTTTATTTTTTATAAATCTTTAATTGCTTCAATCCGTGATAAAGTTGGAAAAATTTGTTCAGTCTTATGCGAGGAAGATGAACTGATGTTAATTGCGATTCTGGACTTTCTCTGTTTCTTGGGTTTATGATTGGGTTCTCTACAGGTTCACATAGCTGCGATTTGGTTGACATCGTGGTGGAGAATGGAGGACGACAATGCTACAAACAGATCATGACTTTAGGGTTTAATTGGTTTCTGAAAATTTAGGGTTCCGATGCGAAAATGTTCGCTATCTGGATTCTCTAGGTGTAGCGATTAGGGCTCGCGAAGACTGTTGGCTTGATTTTCATACAGGTCGCCATGGAGATGAACAAGAGGAAAGAACCTGGTTCTAGGTTAGGGTTCCATGACGGACTCATGGTTGTGGTTGATGCTCGCAATTCGAACAAATTGAATACTTAGTTCGAACAAATTAAATCGTTAAATCGAACAAATTGAATCCCTAAATCGAACAAATTTAATTTTCAATTTTTGAAATTCATTATCAATGTTTAATTCATTTTTTCCAATTTCTTTTTAAAAAAACAAAATAATGAGTTTCACGTCATTTATGGAGATGACCTTACCACGTCAACCTTATATTAACGACTTCAGGAAGGATTAAACTTTATTTTTATGTCACTCATTTGTGTAATAACCAATGGTTAATGGTCTTTCAAAGATAAATGGTTGATGTCGTACAAGGATAATTATACTTTGACTCTTATTTTTAACAATATATTAATTCCATCACGTGTTAAACAACTATTGGTCCACATGGGCCAAAATTAAAACAAAATATAACCTGGAAAATCAACATTTAAGGATTTGGATTTGGTGGTTTCTCTCATTTGTTTCAAAATTGATTTTTAAAGTTGGTTTTGGGTGTGAGTTCTTTGTGGAGGGAGAAGGTGTGCAGCTGCAACCATCGCTATTCAAGTCGATTTGTCGTCGTGTGTGTTTGTTGTAGTTGTCGCGATTTGTGTTCTGGTAGAGGTTCTGGATCCGTTTTTGGAAGCTTTCGTGGAATAATCACCGTGGTTGCACCGTTCCTTGGTCGTGGGTTGCGGTGTTGGTGGTTTTTGTGTTCTGGTTTATGTTTATGCATTGGGGTCCTTTTTGATAGTGTTTTTGTTAGTTATTCTTTGGTGGATGTGTATTTTAAGGGTTGTTGGTGGTGTAAAGTTTTGATTTTTTGACACGCACTTTTTTTTTTACAATGTTTCATTTTCATTCCAGAAAAAGGTGAAAAAAAGTAAGTAAATGTGTAATAGTGAACAAATAATTGAGAAAAAAAACTGCAGAGTTGGTGGGTCCAATGCTCAAATAACTGAGGACCTAGGTGTGTACATAAATGTTTTAAACTCAAAATATTGATTACCATGTCAATAATACACCATTAAATTCAACAAGATTGGTATATCATGACTAAAACATAAACCATATGTGACAAAATTACATTAAAAATCTTAAAAAAAATACATTGTTTATAAAAATTTATAGCACAAAACTTTAAATAAACCACGACTTATTCCACTCTTATCTCTGTC